GACAGCGACACCCGCTGAGAAAATACAACTCGCGTTTTAGTGTCATCCATCTGCGGGAATCAGAAAATCGATGCTTCTCCGTGATAGATTGGTTCTTACTTTGCCTGTTTTTATTTGAGAATTACCGTGTAATAAAACTGGATTCGACATAAATGGAAATGAACGTTTTATTTTATAATACTCAACCGTATGATCATTAATGAACGAAGTTCAGATGTGTATCGGCAAACTTATTTTACAAATTCCCGAATAATTAAATATATACTAATTGGATAATATATCCGATTTAGATATTAAGATCAAATATCCGAGTGCACGCACGTATACATATTTGTAATTTATTATTATAAACAGTGCTGAGCAACTCTTTCGAATCGAAAAATCGGCTAATGCGATTAATGTATCGGATTATATCTTCCCCCCCTTTCGTGATTTATGCATTTCGTGGTGATACGATTAAAAGTTTTGCCAAACTAGGAAAGGATTACAAACCATAGTCCGGAATTAATATCGGTTTTCGATTCCTGGCTATCATCCATTTGCGATCGCAGCGAGAGATCGATGTTATTCTAGACTTCAACCCGTTCGTGTGCGTTCGCGGGCGCGACGCACGCTCCTCGTACATTAATAAAAGGTGATAATAACGTACTAAACTAAGTGGACCAACGTCTCAAACCACATATGGAAATTCTAAAAAGGGTCGTAGCATAGGGAGACCCGCTTGAAAGTGTTATAAGTGCATCACGTTGACCAATCGGCCGATCGATCGTTTCTTATTAATCACTTTCGTAAAAAGCCATTTACGATTGGAGCGATGACACGTGGAAAAGCGACGGTTGTCGAGGTAAGAAATTTGCTTTAATGTGCACTATTAGATATTAAATATATTTATGAAAATTGGCGAATGTTAAAAAAATGAGAAGAGAAAGTGTGCATATGTGACAGAAATACAATGTTCTGCAGACACGGAGTAAGAAATTTTATATCAAGATTTATCGAACGTTAAAATGATAAAAAGAAAGAATTAGAAGGTTATTGATTAAAAATTTAATAATTTCAATCGTTGAATTTAAATGACGCATGTTTAAGAATTATAAATTTTATGTAAAGAAGGAAGTCAGATTCCTGTAACGCATATTATGTCTTAAATTTATGAAATAAAAACTATAAATGTTAAAAATGAAAATTTTATAAATTTGAAATGTTAATATAAAATTGTATATTTCTCTCTCTCTCTCTCTCTCCCCCCCCCTCCCCCTCTTAGTTTATGTTATTATTAATCAACTAACTCATATATCTTGAATTGTATTTAATATTAGATTGGATATATTTTATCGCGTTATATAATGCACAATTTTATATACATACGAATTTATATATAACGAACTAAATTATTCCATTACGATCGTGTCTAAGTTTGCGAGACGCTGTTACGTTTTCCGCTTCAATCGGAGAAATGCATTACCGGTACTGTATGTAAGTTACAAGTGTCATGATTTGCAAATCTCACGGTGTAACGACGATTAATGCACTCGGGGAAACGAAATGTGTCGCGATCGGACAGGCCGATCGGTTAATCGTTAATAGACGTATAGATAGAAAAAAATATCGATATCAGCTTGAGCTACATAACACGTACCACTGTCT